GCAGTAGGGATGCGCAATGCAATACTGGGGAATGACCTTAAATAAATGGTTATGTAAGTAGGTAAAATGTATATTGCCCAACGTGTTAAACGTCAAGTTTCGTATAAAAAATGCCCTGGTGCATAATATTTATCCCTGCTATTTGTATAGTTTTTAATCAAACTTCAATGGCCTAAGAACAAGAGTTAATTGATGAAGATTAAAGACATGGTTACCTTGCATGTGGGAATTAATCAGAGATTTCGTAAAGTAAATACTTTTCTAACTGTCTTGTACAGCCAAAATTTCTCCATTAGTTGGACAATTTTTTCATAACAGGTTTACTCTGTAGCTGAAAAGTTTGTTAAAATGCCATTTATTTATTCAGTCCCATATCGTTTATTTATACTTTTAATTCAATTAATTATGACTCTGGTGGCACAACTTTGACGACAGATATTGGGCCCGTCCTAGGAAATAAGCAAAAGCACAAAACGACTTCAGCCGCTAGCTAGCGGCCTTGGCCCCATGGGGAAACTTCCATATGAAAAGGTCGGGGATGCTCGTCGTAAAACTTGAATTAAACCCCTAAAGGAGACCAGTCTGGGTGCGGTTCAAGCTTTATTTGATCTCTAAATGATACCACTTAAAATGGGATAAGCTTGATTACCAGCCACTGTTCAGGAAATGAGCCCGCGCTGATAGGCTGGACTGGAGAGACCGGCAGAAACCGAGCCTAAAAAAGGAGGGCGTTTTTATGATTACGTCTTCGATTGCGCCCTAAAAGATACTTTGACAGCTAAAAATAGTGGCGTTTCGTCATAAACACCCTAAGTGAGACCGGCATCCTTGATTTTTACCTTTGGGCGAGACGACTAACATCCCCGACCTTAACATATGGGAGTTCCCCCCCAGGTCTCGGCCAGCTGAGTGTGATAAAAACGACAGGCTTTGCTAAAGCCTAGCTAATTATGCGAGGATTATAAAAAAACAAACAAAAACTATTTATCCAATAGCAATCCTTCAATAACCACATGTAAACTGATGGCCTTGTTTACCGATTAATTTGTTACGCTTTCATTACCCTTGCAATACAGCTGAATGTTGCATTTCTTAGTTGTGTTTTAATTCCTAGCTATCAGCAGTTTTATACTAAAAAAATGATAAAAAAAAATACTTATTCATGGGCTGATGCCACCTGATATTTATCGTCAATGTTTGTTAAACATCGTTCACTGCATAAATAATTAATAGAACAGTCGATAAGAAATCAATTGACAGACCACTGGTTGCCAAACTTTGCCCGCCTCTTTGTTTCGCCGGATGGTCCATTCTACTTTTTAAAGTTTATGAGCGATATACTCATGTTCTGGGAGAGTTGGAAATGAGTACTCGGCGAGAAACGTATGTATTCCGATAATCATTTAAACGACTGACTTTTTTTTTGGTGTTTGTTGTCATAACTATTCGGATTTGCATTCGGCTTGCAACTGAGCCGCGTCCATTCCTGAAACAACATGTTCTAGTCCGCTTTATTTTTGTAAGCAAACGAGCAAGACATTTTAAAAGCATTGCTAAACCCACCCCATTAGCAAAGTTTAGGAACCATACCTTAAACGTAGAAAAATCCTATTCGCATTTTATTTAGTATTTATAACGACACTATGCAAATTCACTTACAGGATTCAAGTGAAGACACTGTTCTCGTTATGCGAGTCCTGTTACGTTGCTAAATAGTTAGAGAACAAAACATATGGTCTACGATCACTATCGCCTTGTATGGTTCATCGCGGCTTTTTATTACAGGAGATTTAACATTACAATTGAGCGCGCTTTCAAATCGGAAATTTATCACAAAGCAGTAGACGGTTTTTGCTTTGCTGAAGGCATCTGAGTGTTTGTTTGAACTAGGTGCTTCTCGATCAGATGGTGATCTTGTCTAAACAAAAATGATTATTGAAGGCACGTTTTAGTGAAATGCTAGACGTAGAAATGAGTTTTATTTCTCCCCGATGTTGCCTTGTTGCATATTCTCCGATATTGTCTTGACATCTGTCGCTGAGAAACAAATAGGCGTCGTGCCAATTAATTGCAAGGTTTCAAGACTTTGGACTGCATCACTTTGTTCTTGTTCTCGCTTTAAAATTCTTGTATTCGCCTCAAGCTGATTTATATTACAATTCCTTGTGCAGGTGTTTTGGCAAAAGGTCAATATTACAAGTACCCTGGCTAGCTAATGAAAATTCATTGGGTATCGCTTAGGAATTTGAATTAGTATCTGCAACTGTTTAAAGACAAGTTTTACAAATGTTTCAAAATGCTTCATAGTTTGAAGTTCTTGAAAAAACGTAAAGCAACACAGATATGTGACGAACTAGTTGCCATTTTGCTGCTTCGTTCTGTTTGGTCATAGTAATAGTTTATGTAGGCTTTCGGGCACTGATTCAGAACTAAATTTCTTCAGTTTCTGCACCGCAGATGTCTAACGACGATTCGCAAGAACTGGTTAATCACGCTCAACACAGGTGCTTATCACGGAAATTTTTTAAAAATATTCAGACTTGTTCGCTCGAAAGTTGATACGTGGCGCTAAAAGGAAGCTATTTTATTTGGGAAAATTGAACTGACGCACAAGATATGCAACTAAAAGCCTCTATAATGGCTAAATAACATTGATTTGACATTTAAATGGTCAGTCTAAAGTAATACTGCGTACGTATCTCTGATCAGTACTTAAAATTAGGTATTTTGATGAAATTTTGTAAATAGACCAATTATAGATATTCTAAGCTTTTATTTGTGACTTATTTAGCAAAGTGTCTCCTATTACTAAGTAGAGGATTATCCTTAAGCTGAGGAAAAAAATTTGGATAACGTTTTTCGTGATAAGAGGTAAGTGTTATCGAGGGCTGAGGCTGATAATTCTTATCGAGACATTGATTCTATTGTTATAATTTCCAGAGGTTAATATAAGAATTGGACACTCTGATTGGTCGAAAAGCTCATCATATGACGCTATATTAACACCGCTAAAGCTTGGTTACTAAGCTCGCCATCTTTGCCATCTCGGCAAGTAAACATGGCGGACACTTATTGAATGAAGTTCAGTTTCATTTATTCGAGAGACATCACTCCAAGTCCAGGACATTTGAAAGGATGGAGAATTTTCAAAATGACTGCTGTCGCCCTTGGACCTAAAATCTTTTCAAGAACTCTTATTCAAGAATCGTAAACGCAGTGGTTGCGTCGATTGCCAGCAGGTCAGATCGATTGATCGATTTTTCGTAATGTTTCGCTCGTTTGTTTTACTGCCGAACTCGATTAGTAAATTGATTGACAATCGATGTACATGTAAGCTTATTATTGAAACTACAGCTGCATATGTGTATGCACACGAACAATTGCGTCTGTGTTTTTAGGTTTTAGTCCGTTACTTTGCAGTCCTTGATATTATTCTAAAATTATTCTAAAACAATCATTCGCCTCAGACTCAGTGAACGTTGGTGAATTTTCACCTCGACTTCGTCTCGGGGAATATTCACCAATGTCCACTTCGCCTTTGGCGAACAATTATTACAAACAGCCAAATTCAATAACTGCAATTGTAGTTTGTTGCAAAGAACTTAGAGCATAGCTTCATATATTAAGTTGTGAGTGAAACCAGTTTAGTCTGAACACTGAATGTAGATTTCATTGCTTGACAAAACTCTTGTCTTTCCCTCACCTCTTTCATCTGATCAATTTCGTCTTCACGCAGTAGTCTCTAAATACTTCCGTGGATTTTTGCGTGTTTTCGGCGTCAACATTGACCAACAGAAATGCGATCCAAACCTAGAATTATGTGACAAGCTTGGAGAATAGGGTTTGAAATATGATAGCATTAATAATTTCTGGAATCAGAATGTTTGAGCGCATGGCTCAAATCGCGCACAATCAAACTACATGTATTCATAAAAGAAGTAAAAGTATCGGTTCAATGAATTTAAGAAACGAAAAGGTATGAAACCAACAAAATCAGATCAGTAAGACTGGCTTCTTCTCTTATTCATTCAAGGTAATAAGACCTGAGATATTTCGGCACCTGTCGAGCGAGGTCGCACAGCTAAAACGTTTTTTCCGTGTGGATGACATTTCTGTTGACCAATGATGATGCGGTGACGGAAACGACAACGGCTGACAAAAGAAATTACCAAATAATTCTGAGTTTTCCGCAGGACTTGCACGCCATCAAGTACTTAAAGAATTAGCTTCTATTTAGACCTGAAAAAGGTCTAGAGCGGGGGCTGGAATCTCATTTATCAGCTCGGTCCATTTCTCAGCAGGAGTGCACGAAAAGGTATGAAACCAACAAAATCAGATCAATAAGAGTGGTTTCTTCTCTATTCATTCAAGGTAATAAGACATTAAGATATTTCGGCACCTGTCGAGCGCGGTCGCACAGCTACTAAGGTTTTTCCGTGTGGATCACATTTCTGTTGACCAATGATGATGCGGTAACGAAAACGACAACAGCTGACAAAAGAAATTACCAAATAATTCTGAGTTTTTCGCAGGACTTTGCACGCCAGCAAGTACGTAAAGAATGAATGAGTTGCCAGTAATCGGATACCCATGTTTGCGCAAAGAACTCTGGGATCGTCAGGGGGCAAACATTGCAAGTTGCTAAAAGGAAATGTATGGCGAAACGTTGTTTCGACGCCCAAAAACATGGTTTTGGGGAGAGATCAACGCTTTTTCGCCGTTGTTTTATCGCAGATGGATTTTGGCAATGTTGATACATGGAAAATGTAAGTTTTTGTTTGAATAACCGTGAAATAAGTGATACAATTTACCGATAAACTCCCTTTTGCTTG